AGAACTGTTGTTCTGAAGGGTCTCTATTTTTTGAATGATAAGGAGATGTTATTGATTTTAAAATCAGCTAACCACAAGTCCTAGAGATCCTATGGCTCAAAGAGATGTTTTCAGTTTTAGAAAACTAACATTTCAGAGAAAAAAAGCTAAAAACAACTGTAGTCATCTATGACTCTTTTTGAAAAACATACAATAAAAGGGATTTTTTGAAAACTAGGSTTTGGAAATTCATTATTTGTCCTTGTGATGGGATAAAAATATATTTTGGATTAAGGGAACTTCTGCAGGAAATTCTATTATGAGTAACAATGCTAATTTGTGCAGGAAAATCATTTCATAACATGACTAGAAAATGTTATAGTTAACTGTTTCCTTTTATTAAATACAAGTAGTAAAGCATATTAGGACTATTAGTAACTTAAACCTACCATAAATTTACATCTGGTTTCTCAAACAGTTCTTTGGACTATTTAGAATCAACTTTTTTTTTTTTTTTTTAACCAGAGATTAAACCCAGGGGAGTTAAACACTGAGCCACATTTCCAGTCCTTTTTAAATATTTTATTTAGAGACAGGGTCTCACTGAGTTGCTAAGTGCCTCACTAAGTTGCTGAGGCTGGCTTTGAACTCACAATCCTCCTACCTCAGAGCTGCTGGAATTACAGGCATATGCCACAGCACCTGGCTAGAATCAACTTTTGATGGGAAGGAACATCAATGCCTGAGGATGGGTCAGGATATCAGAAGAGAAATTTTATCAATGCAAAATATCTCCTTTGGCAGGACATAGATGAAGAATGTAAAACAGCAGATCTTCTCCATAGCTGCGTGTGGTTCAGTAAAGTTCTCTACATCAAATGAATGCAACTTTAAGCAATTCAATTTTGTGCTGATATTCTGGGAAACACTGTAGTAGTTAACTATTGTCAATAGTGTGGTTATTTTTGAGCAAAGCTGTCTTACAGTCTTCAGATCTTGTGACCTAAGCAGCCTCTACATTCAAGCAAGTTGAAAGGATTACTGTTGACACATGATCACTCGAGCCCCATCCAAACATATGGATCCTCTTCTGTTGGCTTCTGCAACAAAAAGGCAAATAAGCACTAAATAAACCAGAAAATGCAGAAAGAGTAATGATGCAATAGAAGAGAGTAAGATAGTAGAGCTACAACTTTCTTGGCATAGATACAAAGCTAGTTGCCTAATGTAGTTCTGAGATAGTAGCTATCTATGAAAACCTCTACCATTTGTCAGTTTACTTAAGGGAGGAACGAGAAATAAGAAATTTTTAAAATTCTGCTTCATAAAAGTAACTCATATTTACTTGGGGCAGGAGACAACCAAAATTTCTATGTAAGCTGTCTCATTTGATTCTTCAATAATCCCATGGTATGAGTGTTATATCCTCACTTTATAGGTTTAAAAAAAAGGGAGGCAAAAAGAGTTTAACTTACTTAAGATCTTGCAAATGGTAAATGATGAAACTGGAATTTGAAAACCAGAAAATCTAATTTCAGAGACTTAGTTCTTAAGCAATACTCCACAAGATTCCAAAGTCTTATCCCCTTTTTATTTCCTCAACAGAAAGCCATTTTCTTCAGTAATTTTGTTAAAATTCTAGCAGATGGCTTTAACTATTCTTTAGTATAATGGTTCATTGGAAAAATTGTACTTTAGAGATAGTAAAATAATGTAAAATATTGAGTTAAACTCGTTTTTTTCCTCRCTGAAAACAAACAGTAATGTTCACTTCCAGATAAAACTGCACAACTAGCAATTCAAGCCTTCCAATCTCAGTTGGATCCTCCAAATGGCCATTCTACCTTTTTTATTTGTTTTCTCCATTCTTCTTAGTTATAAGACCTTTCCCATTACTTTCTCATTTTTCAGTTGCAAAATTAAGACATTTCCACATTCCAAGATTTAACTCCCATATCCATCTCTTCATACAATATTGTCTGCAATGTCACTAAGAAAATTGAGGCCATCATGAACTCCCTCCTGCCATACCTACAAATTTCTCCACATGTTCACCCATCCTTTTAGTGTTTCTTAAGAACATATGTTCTCCTCTTTTAATGGTCCAAATTCCCTTGAGCTCTTGGCTCAAACTTCTCCCAGTTTTTCTAGAAACTTAAATTATTAATTTTCTAGTCTGTCTCTTGTGTTGTGGTACATTGTTGTGKTGACCACAACCTTTAATAAGGGAGAGTAATTCACCCATGATCTCTGTAAAGAGCAGCCATATTTTGTACCATGTAAACTCCACCTGCTTGGACTAGAAGGGACCCTCTCTCAAAAGGCAGTTAATTTACAGATTAACCAGAGAGTTAAGACATAGCTTGACAAGAAAAGATAAGCAGGGCCCCTCACTTTTTTTTTTTTTGGCGGTGGTACTGGGGATTGAATTGTGGGCACTTTACCACTGAGCTACATCCCCATCATTTTTATTTATTTTTTTTTTTGAGAAAGGATCTTGCTAAATTTCTGAGGCTGGCCTTGAATTTGTAATCCTCCTACTTCAGCTTCCTGAGTAACTGGGTTTATAGGTGTGTGTCACCACATCTGGTTTAGTGCTTCTCATTTTATAAAAACKTTTCAAAGGCTCACTACTCTAAGATCTAAAGATGTTTTATAAAGTGAAATGAGTGAATTTTTATTACTAGAAAAGATAAATGATCTTTGTGGCCTGTCTTGTCTGTGAAGTCATTTATTAAACATTCAGTGGAAGTAAGTTCATACCACATGTTTAATTGCTGATGAACTAAGCATTTGAGTCCAGGAATAATAAACCAAATATTATTAATGATAAAAATAGAATCTGTTATAAATGGTTTTTAAGTACATCATCTGGTTCTCATGATAATCCCACAATGTATGTTCTGATATTCCTAATTATCAGATTAAAAAAAAAACTAAGAGAATTTAGTTAATCAATATCGCTCAGTTAATGACTGGCAGAGTTTGGAGTATAGATTCAAAGCTTATGGACTCTTTGTCCTCCTTATACTCTTTTTTCTTTTTTTAAAAAAAACATTTTTAGTTGTAGTTGGACACAATACCTTTATTTAATTTTTATGTGGTGCTGAGGATCGAACCCAGCACCCCACACATGCTAGGCAAGCGCTCTACTGCTGAGCCACAACCCTGGCCCCTGTCCTCCTTATACTCTTAATCTGGCTTTTAACTAGTCAAAAACAAAGGCATACCTTATTTTATTTTATCATCTTAGCATGCCATCAAGAAGATTGAAGTTGGTTTATATAAGTATATAAAATATCAAAAACAGGACTGGGGATATAGTTCAGTTGGTAGAGTGCTTGCCTTGCCCTGGGTTTACTCCTCAACACGGAAAAATAAAAGAAAAAGAAAAATAGTAAAAACAGATGAGAAATTAGAAAGGAAATAAAATCAAGCTAGGAGCAAGTTTAATGTATAAGGATGTATGTTACAGGRATTTTGTTTGTTTGTCTTTTTTTATTTCTTAGTTTTGTTTCTCTATACTGCAGGTTTATAGGAACATAAAGCAGGGTCTCTAAACATTGCTTCATTAGGAAGAAGTAAATGATGCCTTTGGGGAGACCTATTAAATCCTAAGGGCTCAAGGGGTTGGGCATGAAAGGTGATCATTATTAAGCATCTACATTAAACAAAATATAGTGAAATGTACTTATCACAAATGCTTGTAGAATAAACTTAGAAACATCAGGTACCACTGCTTATACAGAGTAAACATTAGGCGATCTATAAGAAAGAGGTGGATGTTCACTAAATACTAAATTGAGCAAAGTTCTGTGAAAATTTTACTGACCAAGAATATTCAGGCATTGACAGTGTACAAAATAGCATATCAAAAAGCACACTTGTTTCCGTAAACATGGTTTCTTACACAGAATGCCTTAAAAATTTCAGCATTCAAATTGGAATCTATTCTTTATTTTATCCATTTTCTTCCAGGTTAACATTTAGAGAGACACCTTTCTGAAACCAGTAAGTAGGTGGTGATTGGCTTACCAAGAACAATATAGTAGTATCTTTGAAGGGAAAACTACAATTATGGAAACATGATACAATTTTTTTTTGATTTTGTATCACCATGTGACTTAATACTCATTCTTTTCCCAACTGACATGTATCCTGAGGTTCAGGTGGAGAAACCAAGTTATTGATTAAATTTATGATTTTTATGTAAAAACTTGAGAGCAATAACCTACTAAAATCAGCAGTTGATTTGAGTATGTAACCACATGGGAAGTGAGGATGGATGTGGAGTGGTGGTAAATATCATGTTTGCTTCACACAGCAGATGACCTCACACTTAATAACGAGGTAAATCTTATGGGCCATGACTCAATGACCCAAATTATCATGATTGCTGTCTCTCTGCTTTGGGGATCAACAAGTGCAGAATTTTTTGGGTGCTGTGTTCGCTCAGGTCAAAATAATAGAAAAGATTCAGGACTGAAATTTCTTAAGAACTAAGCCCCTTTCTAAGCCCTCTGTTCTATCCGACTTATTTTCAAACTCTAAAGGGAGAAAAACTTTGGTCTCCAAGAAGCAACCTGCAGCAAGGACCAGATATTTGCATAATCAAGTGTATTTTAWACGTCTGCTTCAGAGTGGAAAAACACAGTAGAATGGGGTGAGGATGGTGAGACAGAGTCACCTATTAAAAGATGGCAGCATTGGAGACTAACGCTTGGCTTGGGCTTCATTCGCATCACAGAAAACCAAAGAGCCGGGAAGCCTTTGAAGACAGTCTCGGAGCCACAGACTAAGAGGAAGCTCGCCCACGCCCCGGGTCAGCCCACGCCGGCTCCACAAAGGCCACAGCTGCCCCAGTCTTCCCAGGGCAGCTCCACCWGCGCCACAGGTCGGCATCTCTCCGGGAGCGAACAGCTCAGTACCAGTCGCCACAGCCGGAGTTACGGCAGCACCACCAGAGCCGCCCAGGCCGGAAGAGCTCTCCGGGCCCGCCCGCCGGAGCCGGAAATCGGGGGGTCAGCTGCGGGTGTTTTGCCTTCCGMGGGCCGCTTGGCACGATGCTTTGTGGTCCCTGCCGCCTCCTCAGGGCCTCCGTAGCGCCCACCGCGGCCCTGGCTGCCGCGCTGCTTTCGTCGCTCGCGCGCTGCTCTCTCCAGGAGCCGAAGGACCAGGTGGCTTCGGCGCTCAGCCCCTACTTCGGCACCAAGACTCGCTACGAAGATGTCAACCCCGGACTACTGTCGGACCCCGAGGCGCCGCAGCGGGACCCAGAGCTGCTGGAGGGGAGCTGCACCCCGGTGCAGCTGGTGGCCCTCATCCGCCATGGCACCCGCTACCCCACGGCCAAGCAGATCCGCAAGCTGAGGCAGCTGCACGGGCTGCTGCAGGCCCGCGGGCCCGGGGATGATAGGCCGGGCAATGCCAGCGATCGCGGCCTGGGCGCCGCGCTGGCTGACTGGCCGCTGTGGTACGCGGACTGGATGGATGGGCAGCTSGTGGAGAAGGGGCGGCAGGACATGCGACAGCTGGCGCTGCGTCTGGCCTCCCTCTTCCCAGCTCTCTTCAGCCGGGAGAACTACAGCCGCCTGCGACTGATCACCAGCTCCAAGCACCGCTGCGTGGACAGCGGCACCGCCTTCTTGCGCGGGCTGTGGGAGCACTACCATCCTGGGTTGTCCCCGCCCGACGTCTCAGGTGACCGCGCGCCGCGGGGCAGATGCTCTGCCGCGTTCCCGAATCTTCCCTGGACTTCCCACCCCCAGTCTCGTCTCACTTTGCTCTGTATCCTAACTTCTACCCTTCGGGCTGTGCTTTCTCTGGGTACAGGATGTTGTGAACTTGATTATCTCTCCTTTCATGTGTACATTCATTTATTTATTCATTCATCAGATATGAATTTTAGCACCTTTTACGTGCCGAACGCTGTAGTAGACTCTGGGATCCAGAGCAGGAAAGGAAATGATCTTTCCCAAAATTTTTGGTCGCCCTTTTTTTGAATTAACCACTTTTGAGTGCCAGCCTGTCCCTTCTTACCTCCCTGGCAGTTAGTTTTATGGTTGAAAACACTCTTTAAAAATGATATTTAGAACCTTCTTCCTCAGGCATTGCTTGTAATACAAGTTGGGGTTTTTACTCATCACCTTTTTCAGGTGTCTGGTCTAGACTTAACACCTGATTTAGGAAGCTGTTAACAAGCCTTATTTATGCCCTGCTTTTTCCTTTTGTTTGGTTCTTGTATTTACTGTTATAGAGTTCCCTTATTGTAGTTGAGGTTCATTGTCAAAAGCAATACTTTACCTACCAATTGATTTCATACTTTTYCAAAATTTGAGAAATGAAATAGTGGTATCTTTTTATTTATCAGGCAAAGAAGTTAAGCCCAAGATTGTCCTCTAATTTGAGGACTAGTCAGGCCTGGAGTCCAGGTCTTCTGTTTTTCCAGAATGATACTTTTCCCATCAAAATGTTTTTATAGTCAATTATATTGTAGCAAACACCCAATGCCTCATATATACCACACATGTCTCACATTTGTTTTACTTAATCTTCACAACTTTTCTCTGAAGCTGATGGTACCCCCACATTGAACCCAAGGGTACTTAACTGCTGAGCCACATCCCCAGCTCTTTTTTTTTTTTTTTTTTTAGTTTGAGACAAGGTTTTGCTAAGCTGTTGAGGCTAACTTTGAATTTAAAATCCTTTTGCCTTCCCAGTTGCAGCAGCGATTGCAGGCATGGGCACCTGCACCTGGCTCATAACTTGCTTTTTAAAGTATTACACTATACAGCTTCCTTTTATCTTATAATATCTGATGAGAATAAAAACATAACATATTTGTGACAGAGAGATGAACAATTGTTAATAACTACTTCTAGGTTTTAAGGTAAGAATTGAAATGAGGAACTTCATTTAGCTTTACAGCCCAAATTTAAAAAACAAAACAAAACTGGTTTATCATTTCTTCCATAGCAGTTCAGCAGTCTGCAAGGGATTTTTCCCCTAACTGTGTATCATGTTATTGCTTTGTGGGTAACTCAGTAAACTAACTTGTTACTTACTGAGTCGTGCTTTTAAATTATAACTAGGTTTTTCCTATTAGTTTGGGTGAAAGTTCCCTGTAGGTTGCCTAAATTAGCTGAATTTTAATGTAGCACAACATATACTGGACCTCCTGGCATGAATGATGGCACTCAGATTGCATTGAGAAGATTGTCATTTGCCTCTGGGGGAAAAGCCAGGGATCAGAGTAATTCAGGATAAATCCCCCTCTCACCATTTTTCAGTCTCAGAGATTAAATCCTTTGCCTAGCCACTTCATTATCCTACACAGACAATTGTTTTGCCTGTTGTGTAAATCTGGGCTTTTGAGGGAGACCACTGAATTAGATTTTGTGTTTTTATAGAAATAGAACAATGCATTTGTTTCTGTTTAAAGAGCAGCAGTAATTAGATAATAACAAGGGTGAACCATCCAGACCTACATGAGAAATCATATTTTGAGGGCACAGAAAAGATGACAAAGTTCTCTTATTTTCCTAGTGAAGTCGGTCTTTTTTGGGTTTTGGTAGTGGGGACTGAACTGAGGGACACTCTACTTCCACTGAGCAATATCCATCTCTAGCTCTTTTTATTTTATTTTGAGGCAAGGTCTCCCTAAGATKCGGAAGCCAGTGTCGTACTTGTGATCCTCCTCTTTCAGCCTTTTGAATCACTAGGATGACATATACTGGCTCCTGAAGATACTTTCTTAAGAACTGTAATCCAATTAACAACTAAAGTGGGAGAAATGATCTATTTCAGGGACTATGCCTTCACATATATGTATATTTTTGCGTTGTGTATCTAAAACAAAGGTATAACTGTATTTGAATTTCTTATATTTTGTGTACAGAAATAATACCTGGTGTTTTTTTCATGGTGAATTATTGGAGGAATGATAATTGAGATGTTTTGAATATGGTTGAAAACTTAAAAGACACCCCAATAGTTGAAGCAATGTTATGAATGCTTATCCAGTACATGTTTGCCAAGTTGGGGGAATAGCATACTGTTAATTGGAGTTACCTAGGATCTTCAGTTAAAAGATAAACCAAATCAGAAGCACTTAGCACAATAAAGACCAGTAGACTTCAAACTTTGTGCTGCTGTCAGTAGTTTTTGTCTAAAGTAGAATTTTTTGTAAAGTAACACAGGGTTAGGAAAAATAATTAAGAAAATAAAACAATCTATTTAGATTTTGGTTGAGTGGAGAAACAGGTCTAATCTGTTAAATTCTCTCTCACCTTGTACCTAGAGACTGCTGGTTTTTAGTTTGCTTTCTGAAGTTTTCTGTGCCTGACAGAAACAGAACTTTCATAACACAATTTTGCACTTCTTATGATTTTCTTGCATAATTATYTTTTTGTCTATGAGAAAACATTCATTTTGGTTACCTTTATTTCATTGTGTGTAGTATTGCTTCAACACATTTTATTTTGGGTGTTGATTGTATTTTAGTATTTCTAGCATATTCTCTTTAAGAATTGCCATCATTATAAATGGGTAATAAAATTTTATACTTATTGCCAACTGTAGTGGTGCACACCTATAATCCTAGTTACTCGGGAGGCTGAGACAGGAGGATCACAAGTTCTTTCGTGACTGATACGTTATTTCAGATATGCAGATTAATGTCATTATGTTCCTTTTTCACACTTGAAGCAAAATTTTTAGTAATTTAAAAGTATTATTTATTGCCAACTGTAGTGGTGCACACCTATAATCCTAGTTACTCGGGAGGCTCAGACAGGAGGATCACAAGTTCAAAGCCAGCCTCAGCAACTTAGCATGGCCCTAAGCAACTTAGTGAGACCCTGTCTTGAAATTAAAAGGGCTGGGGATGTGTCTCAGAGGTTAAATGCACCTGGGTTCAATCCCTGGTACCCATCATTTATGTCAATAATTTACATGTATATAACTTTTTTTTTTTTTCTTTCAGATATGGAGTGTGGACCTCCAAGCATAAATGACAAACTAATGAGGTTCTTTGATCATTGTAAGAAGTTCTTAACCGAAGTGGAAAGGAATGCTACAGCTCTTTATCATGTAGAAGCCTTCAAAACTGGACCAGAAATGCAGAGCATTTTAAAAAAAGTTGCAGCTGTTTTGCAAGTGCCGGTAAACAATTTAAATGCAGGTAATATATCTGCTGCATTCATTTGAACTGTGGCTTAAATAATTTTGAACTGTGAAAATGAAAAAATTAGGAAATTCAGTGTTATTCCTTTTAAAGCCCCAAATTGAATTTACATTCAATTTAAGAAACACCTCATGTTTACTATTTAGATTCATATTCTTCCAATATTATGTAAATTGAGGTATAAAATTCTCTGTATTCTGAATTTTTTTTTTTTTTTGTACTAGGGATTGAACCCAAGGGTATTTAATCACTGAACCAAGTCCTCAGACCCTTTTTTAATTTTATATTTTGAGACAGGGTCTTGCTAAGTTGCTGTGGGCCTTGCTAAGTTGCTGTAACTGGCCTCAAACTTGGCAGTTCTCCTGCTTTAGCTTCCCAAGTCACTGGGAAGTCATGCACCACCATAYCCGGCTTGTATTCTGAAATTTTTTGAGAACCTAAACTCTGAGCATTACTTATAAAAACAAAAAATTTTGTTTTCTGAATTTGCTTCATAAAGTTATTCAAAGAGACTCATAAATTCTTTAGTTTTTGAAACAGTTCAAAAGTACATGTATGAGAGTTTTTGAAAGTGAAAAGCGAAGTGGTATGTTTTTTGAGGCTTTTATATGTAGAGATGTTGAAAAGATAAGTAGTCATGTCTGTCATAAGATATTTCAGTGTAAGGGCTGACTGCAGTTTATCATCCAAACTGGGACACTTTTTGAGAGTAAAAGATAATACTATTATTAATTATTCTGGGAAAACCAGTGGAAAACAGGACACATGGTGACCTAAGCAATGGAAAATTAAGAATATAAAATTTTTTTCCAGTTTTTTATAAATTTGTAATCTGTAAAGCAGATGTTGACAAAAATAAATTTTTTTATAAAAATAAATTTTTATACATGTATGTTCATGGACATACACAAAGATTATAGATTTTATTATATTATGAATCAACTTCCAAGAGATTGGAAGTAGGAAATGTGGAGGGGTGAAACTATTTTTCAGTTAAGTCTGTTTTGGAGACCAAATGCTTTATAAGGATTAAAAAAATGATGATGCCTAAACTATTATTTGAAATTGAGTTTTTTTTTCCTTTCCGCAAACCAGCTGTACATTGGGGTCACCTGTGGAACTTTAAAATGTTCTTATTGGGAAATAATTAAAACATGTAGGTAAGAATAAAGGCTGACATAATGAATACTGTACACTCGAAACTTAGTTTTATGCTTCACTTAGTTGCTCTAAATAGCACCAAGGACCTTGGATTTCTCTCCTGGATCTCTTTCTTTTCTCTCCAGAGACATTGTCATCAATTCATCACTTAATCATCCTCCTGTGCCAGTATATATGTTTTTGTACATAACTGGGATATTGTTTTGTGGATTTTTAAACTTTTAGAATGGTATCAAAGTACATTTGAGTCTGAAATTTGATTTTATGCAACTTTGTGTTTTTTAAATGTAATTTTAATCCTTTCTATTTTTATTTATTTATTTATTTATAGTGCTGGGGATTGAACACAGGGCCTTGAATATGCTAGGCAAATGTTCTACCACTGAGCTATAACTTTAGCCTAGTCCTACATTTTAAACTTATACACAGAATTCCCCATGATATAAGTATACTAGTCTCTAGTCATTATTCTGTAGTAGAAGGTTTTTAAAAACTACTTTTAGGACTAGAGATGTAGTTCATTGGTAGAGTGCTCGCTTATCATGAGCAAGGCCTTGGGTTTAATTCATAGCACTGTGTGTACTCCCTACCCCCCAAGTACATTAAAAACTACTTTTAGTCTCTGAGTGGGTAAGGATTATTTGTGTTTTCCTGATGGAATAACCAAGAGCAACTTTTTTTKKGGGGGGGTACTAGGGATTGAACCTGGAGTGCTTATTAACCACTGAGCCACATCTCAGCCCTTTTTATTTTTATTTTGAGACAAGGTCTCACTAAATTGCTTAGGGCCTCACTAATTTGCTGAGGCTGACTTGTAATCTTCTTGCCTCAGGCTTCTTTGGGATGATAGACATGTACTACTGTGCCTAGCAAGAGCAACTTATTTTAGAGGCACTATAAGCATAGTAGTTGAAATAGTTGATCCTGGGATTGCACCGTTTGTATTTGAATTTTAATCTAACCGTAAATTATGATTTTTGCCAAGTTCCTTAATATCTCTATGCCACAGTTTCCTTCTGTATAAAATGGATATAGGAATTATATTTTCCCCAAAGGATTATTGCAAGGATTATCTGAGATTAATTTATGTAAGACATTTAGCACAGTGCCTGGCATAGTAACTGCTCCATAAATATTTTTGCCATTCAAATACCTACTTTTTTAACATCAAGGGATGGTCCTTTATGTACTATCTGTAATTTATTTTTACTTAATAATACATCTGTCTGTACATATAGTTCTGTCTCATTCCTTTATAAATTATGTTATTTCATAGAATATATGGTTTGATTTCTGGGTCAATGCTGGTTAAAAGTTACTCAACCCATCAAATTTTACTTCTATAAAAGAGTCTGGAGCTAATATACAGTCTAAATTCTTTTATATAGGAAACCATTTTTTCTACTGAAAACTTTTCTAGTTTTTAACTATCTAGTGATATTACAGAGAGCATTCTTATGGTTTATAAGGATTATATTTCACACTGGAGAGTTTATAAGAAAAGTAATAACAGGTGATGTTGCTGGGTTAACAAGTATGAATATTTGACACAATATACTTCCAAATTGTTCTCTGAAGGTGTAGAAAAATTTGTTTCAATATATTATCTAGCACTTAATACTATTAATCATTTTAACTTAGGCTCTTTGATTAGTGAAAAATAATGTCTAGCTTTAATTTACATTTATTTAATTTCTTCTGAAATCCAAAATCTTTTTATATGTTTATTAGCCAGATGTTTAGTTGCCTCTTCATAATCTTGTTTTCTCCCCCCTTCTCTTCTCCTCCCTCTCTCACCCTCCTTCTTTCCCTCTCTTCATTTTGGTACTCAGGATCAAACCCAGGGCTTGGCACATGCTGGATAAACACTTTGCCACTGAGCTTTACCTCCAGCCCTATTGTCTGTTTGCTATTGAGTATTTTTACATTTTTCTTATTGGTCATAGATATCCTTTCTATATTGGAGATGTATTGACCAAACCTTTTAATTCTGTCTAGCAAAGAATTAGTCGTTGGCTTATTGTTGCTAATATTTTCTCTTAATTTGTTGCCTATCTTTTAGGCTCCCTTTTGGTACCTTAAGTTTACATCTTTTGTGAAGCCATATCTGTCTCTTTATTATGGCATCTGATCATTATATTTTGCTTAAGAATATTCTTGAAACTCAAGATTAGTTTATTTTCCTATTTTCTTCTATTTACTTGTTTATTTTTTAATACTTAAATTTCTAATGCATCTGAAATATTTTTGAAGCTCCAAAAGATTGACCAAGAAGTTGGAAGTGGTCATAATACATGAATTAGCCATAACTCATCAAGTAAGATCATTTGTTTTAACTTCATTTTTTGTAGGTGAGCAAGTTGAGATCCAGAGAGCCTAGAATGACTTTGCTCAGAATAATTCATGTTAGAATTAGATATATAATAGCATTAGTTTTCATTTCTCTGTACTTCAAAGACTTTTGGTAAACAAAACAGAACAAAACAAAACAAACAAACAAAAAACAGGTGTTTTTGGTCACCTCTCTCTGGTTAAAGGGTACACATATGGGCTGACTTTTCATAGTTTCAAGTCTAAATGAGCCAGTTCCTTTCATCAGACATGAATAGTAGTTAAAARTCACTCTATTATATTAGGTATTGGGATTATAAACCCTTCCCTTTATTTTTTTTAATAACTTTATTTATATATGGTGCTGAGGATCGAACCCAGGGCCTTGCACATGTGAGGCAAGTGCTCCACTGCTGAGCCATAACCCCAGCCCCATAAACCCTTCCTTTTATATGAGCAGAGTTTTGAATGGCTTTTAGGTATATTCCCACTGAAATTTATTTTTTACAACTATATACTACCTCAGGAATTGTGTAAGCTCAGAACTATTGCAGAAAGCATGTAACAATTAAATTTGGTCCCATTTTTCCTTTGGGAAAGAGGAAAGACAGTATTTTAAAGAAAAATTGAAATAATAAAGGTAATCCCTGTAGTTGACTTCTTTTTTCTCTCTCTAGGATTAGATGCCAGCTACTTCTTGATTAGAGAGCAGCAATGTTTTTATTCCTACTGATAAAGGCTACCTTTTTATAGCCCAAGCACTCATTCCCTTATCCCTTTTTTTGATACATACATACATATACACACATGTGTGTACACATATGAAAGTGATGTTATCAGTGATTTAGCAATATAAAAATCCCAGATAGCTTATTATGAAATTGCTTGATCAACTAAATTTGAAAAACTGATGCTATAATACCAACTTTTCACTCCCTCTTTAGTGTGTAATTTTCCCTTGTTCTTCTGTGGACTCTTTCACCTTTCTTCTGCCCCTTTACTTTGCTCTTTTTTTCCCTGTTTTCTGTAGTCCTCTCTCTCCTTTTATACCTTTCTTTCTTTATTTGACTTTTCCTAATAGTTATGAATTATTGAATAGTTCCCACACTCCCCAGTACTGAGAATTGAACCTAGGGGTGTTCTACATCTGAACTATAGCTCCAGCCCTTTTTATTTTTAAAATTTTGAGTTAGGATTTTGCTAATTGCTAAGGCTGCCCTTGAACTTGGCCAACCTCCTGCCTCAGCTTGTGGAGTTGCTGGAATTATAGGCATGTGCCTATAATGCCTGGCACTATTCTGTAGCTTAAAAAATCGTTCAATAAGCTGGATGTGGTGGTGCAAACCTGTAATCCCAGTGACTGGGGAGGCTGAGGCAGGAGGGATTGCAAATTCAAAGCCAGCCTCAGCAAAAGCAAGGTGCTAAGCAACTCAGTGAGACCCTCTCTCTAAAGAAAATACAAAATAGGGCTAGAGATATGGCTTATTAGCCTAGTGYCCCTGAGTTCAATCCCTTGTCCCCAGAACCCCCTAAAAAATTGTTCAATAAATACACCTTGTTATTCCTACTTTTCAAGTTGGGGACTAAAATCTTTCTAATTTTAGTTTCCCTTTACCAGCCCTCTAATATTAGCAAAATAAAAGTCTGTTTAATGTAGTAGGTCTTTGGGTTAACCTTTTTGTTGGATTTGCCAGGCAAACATGCTCTTAATAAATAGTTTTAAAAACTGAAAAAAGTTACAGAAAGTTTCTTGGTTTTATTGGACTGAAATGTACACATCCTTGTGATTTATTCCTGGTAGTTGTAGTCTTTCCCTTGCACAGAGCAAGTATTAATTCTTTGATAACCAAGAAAAAAAAACCTAGGCTCTTCTCCAAACCAAACATATCCAGTTTTTCAATTTTGCTGCAAATAGCATTCTAGCAATATTCAGCTTTTGAAAAATTGCAGAAACTAATAACTCATAAAATTTTACCTGTTTTCCCCCCAGATTTAATTCAGGTAGCTTTTTTCACCTGTTCATTTGACCTGGCAATTAGAGGTGTCAAATCTCCTTGGTGTGATATTTTTGACATAGATGATGCAAAGGTGAGTATTACTTTTGCAGTTACTTCATGGTTTAATGGGGCTTTTTTTTTTTTTTTGTTACTTAAAGCAGCTTTTCTGAAAATAAGCAAAGTTAGGGAACATAAATTGTCTTGTGACTATTTTCTTTATAAATAGAAATTAACGTTCAAATAAGTTTCACTTGTAAAAAGTTCATAAAACTTGGGAAAACATTTTTTTCATGATTTGATTTCTAGGGCTCCTCAGTTTAAAACCTATTCAACCCTTCATCAAATTTTACTACTGTAAGGGTATATAATCCAAATTATTATTTTTATAGAAAGCCAAACTTCAGAACAAGTGATTTTCCAAAGACCTAACTGTTCTTACATAGAAATTTTCATGGGAAATTGAATTCTGAGTTCCACCTGGTGGTGGCAGTAATTCACTTACAATTCCTGTCTGCTTACCTCATTTCCCTCTTTTGCTCTTCATTTTCTGACTGATTTTTTAAGGTCAGATTCAGATTAAACATTTTTGACAAGAATTCCACATAAGTGATATATCTTTTCAGTGCAGCACATCAGAAGGAATGTCAGTCTTACATTTTTGATAATGATGTTTGATCATTTGATTAAAGTATTGCCTACAGATTTTTCCACTGTGGAAGTATCTTTTTCCCCTCTGTAAATAAAAGGCTTATTTAAAGAATCATGACTTGAAAACTCAAAATACATGTATATTAAATTAATTGAATGAGTTTCCTTTTTATATGTAAGAATAAATTTAAAATTTTTATTTAAAAATATGAAGTTATCTTTTGATTTAGGAATTTCCTATGATTCTTTTCTTCTTATTTTAATATAAAATAATTTATCCCTGCTTACCACTTGCACTGTGTAATAATAGGTTTACATACTAAAGTATTTACAGATGAAATAAAATGGTGTTTGAAATTTGTTTGAATTCAGTGGTGGAGGCAGGAGCATAGCTGAAATAGGATTGGTCAAATGTCGATTATTGTTGAAATTGGATGATGGGTACACTTGGGTACTACTTGTTGTACTACTATTATATACTTTTATATGTTTGAGATTCTCCATTAATATATTTTAAAATTAAAAATAAGTAGGTACTAATGAAATTCTGAGAATTATATAAATTGTCTAGGACCTTGTGAAATGCTGGACCATATGTGCTTTCTTTTAGCCAACATTTCTCGAATTCCTGTTCTATGCCAGATACTTGCTTGGAACTGAAGATGACTAACATTAAGATAGCATTATCTTCAAAGAATGGCAGAAGGAGTGAAATAAAGCCATTTATAATAGAAGTATATATAAGATATAGTGGTACACAAAAGGAAGTTGATTTAATGGTTGTCAGGCAAATCTTTAAGAAAGAAATGACACGTTTTTCTGGGGGATAGCCTATTTTGCAACTTTGTACATACCTTCTAAGGTAATGAGTGTATCTAGATTGTCTGTCATTTCTAGGTCAATTTTGGTATCTAATATTTTTCTATAAGATATCCATGGCTGGGCATGGTAGTGCAGGGTAGTCCATGCCTGTAACCACAGGGACCTGGGAGGTCAAGGCAGGAGGGTTGCAAATCAGAGGCCARTCTGGAAAAGTTAATAAGACCCTGTTTCCAAATAAAAAATAAAAGGGCCAGGGATTTAGCTCATTGGTAAAATGCCGTAGGWACAATCCCCAATACTAGAAGGAAACAAAGAAAGGAAGCAAGGAAAAGTCCATGTCATTCAGGTTTGCAGGATTATTTACAAAGTTTGGCAAATTTATCTCTTGAAATTTGAAAAACTCATTTTCTGTTTGGACCTTTGACTCTGTAGTTATGTTGTATATTTATATTTTTCTGATTCAGTTTSGGTAACATACTTTGTCAGAAAAATTATCTTCTATTTATATTTTTAGTTTTTATATAAAGTTTTAATAATGTACAAATGAGATTTTAAATCTCTTTTATTAAATATCATTCTGAGCTATATCCCCAGCCCATCATAGTTTGTATTTTAGTGCAACCGTCTTGCTAAGTTGCCCAGGTTGGCTTCAAACTTGCTTCCTGAGTAGCTGGGGTTATGGGTGTGTACCATTGGACCTGGCTTATTTTAAATCTTTTTTTTTTTTTTTTTTTAACTTTGTTTACTTTGTCCCTTTTGCTAACTTCTAGAATTAATTGTCTCTTTAATTTATTTTGGTTTTGGTATATGGCACTGGCCTACCCCTGGGCTTAAACTTATTATGACTGTACTTCATTTTTGTAGAAGCTTATCATCTTTAAATGCTTAAAATTCTGATCCAGCCATGCATAGTGGCACATACCTGTAGTCCCCAATAACTCCAGAGGCTAAGGCAGGAGACTGCAAGTTCAGTTCGAGGCTAGCCTGAGCAACTTAGCGAGACCCTGTCTCAAAAACTAAAAGGGGCTGGAGGTATACCACAGCAGTAGAATGCTTGCCTAGCATGTGTGAGACACTGAGTTCAATACACATACCCTACATACATCCAAAGTTAATTTCTTAATCTTCTGTTAATGTCTTTCTGTGCTATATAATGAATACTCTTCCAGGTACTTTTTTTTCCCCCTGTATCTGTCTTTGCTATCATCTTAATGTAATTTTAGAAGAAAGAGGAGCTAACTGCATATTCTTAATCCACTCTCCTAACCTGTCATGGATGATGGATTATTAGATTTGAAGATTTACTAACTTGTTTTGGCCCACAAGCCTTGACATTTTCCTGATTCAGATTTGTGATGCAGCAAAAGTTATTGTGTGTCATATACCTTCAGCGCTAACTCTTTAATGCATGATATTAAAATCTAAATGCTAAGATTCTACTGTATTTTGTACAGAATGATAATATAACTGTTTCTGGGGAAATATTATTAAATTAGAAAATCTCTAACATTTGTGAAAATGTATTAGACATAATATTTGAAATTTTTATTTTTAGGTATTAGAATACCTAAATGATCTGAAACAATATTGGAAAAGAGGATATGGATATACCATTAATAGTCGATCCAGTTGCACCCTCTTTCAGGATATCTTTCAGCACCTGGACAAAGCAGTTGAAGAGAAGCAAAGGTAAAAGCTGTAAAATTTTGAAGTAAATTCTGAGATTGCTATTAAACTTCTGGAAAATATTTTATAATTGATGATTTTTTTGTCTTTTTAAAATTCTGATTTGTTATATGTCACAGCAGAATGCATTATAATTCATATTACACATATAGAGCACAATTTTTCATATCTCTGGTTGTATACAAAGTATATTCACACCGTTCGTGTCTTCATACATATACTTGGGGTAATGATGTCCATCTCATTTCACAATCTTTCCCACCCACATACCCTGCTTCTTCTCCCTCCCCTTTGCCTTATCTAGAGTTCATCTAATCCTCCCATGCTCCCCCTCCCAACCCCATTATGAATCAGCCTCATTATATCAGAGAAAACATTTGGCATTTGGTTTTTTTGGGATTGGCTAATGTCACTTAGCATTATCTTCTGTAACTCCATTCATTTACCTGCAAATGCATGATATTTTTCTCTTTTATTGCTGACTAATATTCCGTTGTGTATATATACCACATTTTCTTTATCCATTCATCTGCTGAAGGGCATCTACGTTGGTTCCACAGTTTAGCTATTGTGAATTGTCCTTCTATAAACACTGATGTGGCTGTAGTATGCTGTTTTTAAGTCCTTTGGGTATAGACCGAGGAGAGGGATAGCTGGGTCAAATGGTAGTTCTATTCCCAATTTTCCAAGGAATCTGCATACTGCTTTCCATATTGAGTGCACCAATTTACAGTCCACCAGCAATGTACAAGTGTGCCTTTTTCCCCAGTTCCTCGTCAACACTTGTTGTTTGTGTTCTTAATAGCCACCATTCTGACTGGAGTGAGATGAAATCTTAGAGAAATGCAAATCAAAACTACTCTAATTATTAGGGATGTTGAATATTTTTTCATTTATTTGTTGATTGATGGTTTATCCTCTTCTGAGAACTATTTGTTCAGTTCTTTGGCCCATTTATTGATTGGGTTATTTGGTTTTTTTTGGTTTTTAGCTTTTTGAGATCTTTATATACTCTAGAGATTAGTGCTCAACTGATGAGCGAGTAGTAAAAATTTTCTCCCATTCTGTAGACTCTCTATTTGCCTCACAAAAGATTGTTTCTTTTGCTGCGAAGAAGGTTTTCAGTTTGAATCCATCCCATTTATTGATTCTGATTTTAATTCTTGTGCTATAGGAGTCTTAGTAAGAAAGTTGGGGCCTAATCCAACATGATGGAGTTTGGGCCTATTTTTTCTTCTAATAGATGCAGTGTCTCTGGTTTAATTCCTAGATCCTTGATCCACTTTGAATTGAGTTTTGTGCATGGTGAGAGAGAGAGATTTAATTTCATTTTGTTGCATGTGGACTTCCAGTTTTCCTAGCACCATTTGTTGAAGAGGCTATCTTTTCTTCAATGTATATTTTTGGTGCCTTTGTCTAAGATAACTGAAATTATGTGGGTTAGTCTCTGTGTCCCTTATTCTGTACCATTGGCTACCAGTCTGTTTTGCTGCCAATACCATGCTGTTTTTGTTACTATTGCTCTGTAGTATAGTTTAAGGTCTGGTGTAGTGATGYATAGTGAGTATAACAGGTGGCTGTTATACTCTTCTTGCTAAGGATTGCTTTAGCTTTTCTGGGTCTCTTATATTTCCAGATGAATCTCATGACTGCTTTTTCTATTTTTATGAGGAATGTCATTGGGATTTTGATTGGAATTCCATTAAATCTGTATAGTGCTTTTTGGTACTATGGTCATTTTGACAATATTAATTCTGCCTATCCAAGAACAAGGGAGATCTTTCCATCTTCTAAGGTTTTCTTTAATTTCTTTCTGTATCGTTCTGTAGTTTTCATTGTAGAGGTCTTTCACCTGTTTCATTAGGTTGATTTCCAAGTTTTTGGTTTTTTTTTTTGAGGCTATTGTAAATGGGGTAGTCTTCCTCATTTCCCTTTCAGAGGATTTGTCACTGATATACAGAAATGCCTTTTTTTTATGGGTATTGATATTGTATCCTGCTAATTTGCTGAATTCATTAACTAGTTCTAGAAGTTTTCTTGTGGAATTTTTGGGGTCTTCTAGGTATAGAATCATATTTGTCAGCAAATAGTGCTAATTTGAGTTCTTCTTTTTCTAATGAATTTCTTCTGTCTAATTAATTGCTCTGGCCAGTGTTTTAAGAGCTATGTTAAATAGAAGTGGTGAAATAGGGCATCCCTGTCTTGTTCCAGTTTTTAGAGGGAATGCTTTCAATTTTTTTCCCTTTAGAATGATGTTGGCTGGGGCTTAGCATAGATAGCTTTTACAATGTTGAGATATGTTCTTGTTATCCCTAGTTTTTCTAGTGTTTTGAACATGGAGGGGCGCTATATTTTGTTAAATGCTTTTTCAAGTCTATTGATGTGATAAATTACATTTATTGATTTCCCTGTTCAACCAACATTGCATCCCTAGGATGAACCCCACTTGATCATGGTGCACAATCTTTTTCATATGTTTTTGTATTCGATTTGCCAGAATTTTATTGAGAATTTTTGCATCTACGTTCATTAGAGATATTGGTCTGAAGTTTTCTTTCTTTGATTGTGTCTTTGCGTGATTTTTGGAATCAGGATGATATTGGCCTCATAGAATGAGTTTGGAAGTGCTTCAACTTTATCTATTTCACAAAATAATTTGAAGAGTATAGGTATTAGTTCTTTATAGGTCTTGTAGAACTCAGCTGTGTATCCATCTGGTCCTGGGCTCTTCTTGGTTGGTAGGCTTCTGATGACGTCTTCTATTTCATTGCTTGAAATTGATCTGTTTAAATGTGTATATCCTGATTCAATTTGGGCAAATCATGTGACTCTAGAAATTTGTCAATGCCTTCAGTATTCTCTATTTTATTGGAATACAATTTTTCAAAATAATTTCTAATTATCTTCTGTATTTCTGTAGTGTCTGTTGTGATATTTCCTTTTTCATCATGTATGTTAGTAATTTGAGTTTTTTCCTTCTCTTTGTTAGCATGGCTAAGCAATGTTATTTACCTTTTCAAAGAACCAACTTTTTGTTTTGTCAGTTTTTTCAATTGTTTCTTTTGTTTCAATTTCATTGATTTGAGCTCTGATTTTAGTTATTTCCTGTCTTCTACTACTTTTGGTGTTGATTTGTTCTTCTTTTTCTAGGGCTTTGAATGTAATGTTAGGTCATTTATTTGATGACTTTTTTTTTTAAGGAATGAACTCTATGCAATGAACTTTCCTCTTAGCACTGCCTTCATAGTGTCCCAGAGATTTCAATATGTTGTATCAGTGTTCTCATTCACCTCTAAGAATTTTTTAATCTCCTCCTTGATGTCTTTTGCAACCCCTTGTTCATTCAGTAGCATATTATTTAGTCTCCAGGTGTTGGAGTAGATAATTGATGATTTTTATAAAAAGCTTATTTGGTTTTGTTTTTTCAAAATTTTAACATAATTATTGATACCATTCAAATAATATATATTAGTTTTACATGGAATCATACTGCTTATTGTCTTCTGGACTTGCTTTTTTCCTTCAACATTGTGTTTAAAGTATTCAGTATACTATTGCATATTGCTATGGTTCATTTTTACTAGAGTACAATATTCAGTATTGTGAATGTGCTACAGTTTATATCATCTACTCTTGCCAATGGGCATGTAGATTTTTTATTATAAATAGTATAATCATGAAATTTTATTATACATGTCTTCTTTTAAGAATACAAAATATTTTTATTTTAAAATRGAGTTTCCTCATCAAATTGCCTTTGTTAGCTAGGCACAGTGACACTTGTCTATAATCCTAGTGGCTCAGGAGGCTGAGGCAGGAGGATCACAGGTTCAAAGCCAGCCTCAACAATTAATGGAGACAATAAGCAACCTAGTGAGACCCTGTCTCAAAATTAAAAAAAAAAAAAAAAGGCAAAAGAAAATGGGGCCAGGGATGTGGCCCTGTGGTTAAGTGCCCCTGGGTTAAATTCCTGCCACCAAAATAAATAAATAAATAAACAAGTAAAACCCTTTGTTAACATTTATACTTTTTTTTTTTCCTTGTCAGTACTAGATACCAAACCCAGAATCTTGAGCATACTAAGTAMGTACTGTACCACTAAGTACATCCCAAGTTCTTTTTAGTTTTGAGACAGGGGCTTACTAAGTTGGCTAGGCTGGCCTCTAACTTGTGATCCTCCTGCCTTGTTTTCCAGAGTAGCTGTAATTGCAAGCATGTGCCACCTCACCCAGCCCCAAGTGTTTTTAAAAATAATTGTTCATAGGGTTGGAGATGTAGCTCAGTAGCAAGTATATGCTTAGCATGAGTTAGGTAGGCCCACTCAAAAAAAATTTTCTTTTTATCATATGAACATTTGATAGGTTTTTTTTTAAGTTTTATTGATTTTTTAAAAATATACAACAGCCGAATGTATTATAATTCTTATTACACACATAGAGTACAATTTTTCATCTTTGTATATAGAGTATGTTCATGCCAATTCATGCCTTTATACATATACTTTGCTTTTTTTTGCATTACAATTCTTATTACACATATATATCACAATTTTTCATATCTCTGTTTATATATAAATTATGTTGACACCCAGTTCGAGTCTTCATACATGTACTTTGTACCATCACATTCCACTGCCCTTGCTAATCCCCTGCCCCCCCTTTCCTTCCCATCCCTCTTCCCTGTATAGAATTTATCTAATCCTCCCATGCTCCCCTCCTCACCCCACTATGAGTCACCCTCCTTATATCAGAGAACACATTTGGCATTTGGTTTTTTGGGATTGGCTAACTTCACTTAGCATTATCTTCTCCAACGCCATCCATTTACCTGCAAATGCCATGATTTTATTCTCTTTTAATGCTGAGTAAAATTCTAATGTGTATATATGCCTCATTTTTTAATCTATTCATCTACTGAAGGGCATCTAGGTTGGCTCCATAGTTTAGCTAATGTGAATTGTGCTGCTATAAACATTGATGTGGCTGCGTCCCTTTAGTATGCTG